GAGGCAATCCAAGTTTTCAGGTTAATTCTTCTTTCCTTTTTTTTTTGCATCGGATATTGGTTTGTGTCTCTTATCACCAGGTTGAGTTCTAATGAGGAGCTATTGAGGAGGCAAGGATGCTAGCTATGCGATTGATGTAGGTAGACTTAAGTGCGAGTGAACGAACATCGCGAGCTAAGTATTTTCTAACTTTTTGATTTTCTTCTCTTCTGACTCATCTTATTGGTTATCTCTTCTAGACGAGATTAGACACCAAGGACAGTGTTCAGTTCAAGTCTGGGGGAGGATTCGTCTAACGCCAAACCATATCTATTTAGAGTAATGTTGCATGCATTTTCCTCTTATTAGGGTTATGCATTTACATATAATATTTAGGACATATAAAATCATGTGCATAAAACCGTTTTGAACATTGATGTGATGATCTATGGCATGAGAGAGTAAAAACGTCTTGAAAACATTGTGATCCGTTGAACGTGGTTATGTTTTGTTGAATTGATTGCTTGACCTTTAGGATTGTTTAGAATGGGTTGTGAGATAGAAATCATTGGTTGGAACTCATGGGATCGATGTTGTCTAGCCAAGTAGAAAGGTTTATATAGGAACCGTCTCCATGTTTGCTGAAATCGGTAAAGTCTATTATCAAATGCATTTTTATTTCTTTATGTGCAGAAAAAGCTAGTGAGCATCTCTACACTCCGCTGTCATTATCTCGTCAACGAAAATCGTTCGAGGATATGAGTGCATCAATTTGATGGTTCGGATCTAAGTTGTGGGTCGGGTTATCCAATAAAAAAAAAAAAAAAATTTGATTAGGAACCCTTCAACTTCAACGTCCTAGGAACCCGAGATGCTAGCAAAAGAAAAAAAATCTAGCTAGATGAAAGAAACAAAAAGAGAAGAAGAAAAAGAATGAATACCGAAAGCGTAAACTAGATACGATTAGGTAGAATGGCGTGATAGGTTCGAGAAACATGCTTGGTGGATGATTGAAGTTCTTGGATGGTTCTGGGTAGCGGTATAGATCTCATAACTATGAAAGACTTTCCTTTAGAGAGTGAGATCATACTAGACAGACTTGGTCATGGTTCACGGGGATCTAGGTCGGATAGAGGTTTCGCTCTCGATTATCATTTTGAGTTATGTCATTGTCTCGCCCTCTTTTCAGACCGCTTTTCATGGAGTATTTGCTCGAGGACGAGCAAAGGTTTAAGTCTGGGGGATTTTGATAACATGTATTTTGGTGATATTTTGGTATAAGATGTCTAGTGTATTTTACTCGGTTTTGCATATTTATAGGCATTCTAGAGTACATTTGGTCTCGATATTGCTTGGTTGCTTACTTTGGTGTCGAAACAGGTATTCATGCATGAAAGAGAGCAAAAGGAGTGGAAAACATGGACTACGGAACATCACAGACGAAACGGGAACATTTGGAGTTGTTCCGGGGAAAACACGAAGCCTAAAAAGTTAGATCTTGCAAGTCCAATAACTTCCACTATACAAGTCCAAATTGTTGTTCACTACCTCATTGGAAAGCTTTTTTCTATATCTACGGGTAGACACCAAGATCGCACAAATCCAACATTGGAGCAGAAAGTTATGAGCAAATCTGTCAAGCATATTCGAGTTGAAAAATCGACACGGCTATGTAGATTCAAACTCGCCCGTGTTCAGCCCATGTCTAAAGTGCAGATTTTTAACATATAATTAACACGGACCGTGTTGCATTACGGAAAAACTTCCTATTTTGCATCCGGACTTCCGTTTTCAGCAAAGGAAGAAACCGAGCCGCCAAGCCAATAAAGAGAGGACGTCTTAGACTTCAGAAATCATCGAGATATCACAGTAGAAGCCAGAGAACTCGAGAGAGAATCAAGACGGAGTTTCCCGGGAGCAGAGATTGAAGAACCGTCGTTGAGAGATCGTTGCGAGTTTCTTCTCGATCTGTTTTTCATGTCTCTCTTTATTGATTTGAACTCGTTTGTTGTTATGGGTTGCGAGTAGTCGTTTCACTGTAGCTAGGGATTTAACCTTGTAGGGATTTGTTTGGTTTTTATTTTCTAAGACTACGCTATCGATACTCGGCGATTTAATTGAATTGAGTTTATTACTTTTGATCTTCTTGGCCTGTTGATTGATTGATCTTAGATTCTGATTTACAATGAGAGTTGGAATTAGATTCGGAAAGAATTCATTGAATGAATTGATTAAGACTATTGAGAGATAGGTTAATCAGTTTTAGGAACTGTGATAGTGATCGTTAATGCGTTTGATATTTTAATCTATTAGGTTGAGAGATCGATAGGTTAAATTATTGGATAGTGGATTTAGGACTTGAGAAAGCCAAATCTGATATTAGAACTTCAGATCCCCGATTAGAGTTCGATATTCGTAGATTCTCCATCCTTAGAAACAATCCATGCGCGTTAAGATTATCCCGAAGCTACGGTGGTTTAGTTATCTGATTTACTTAGTTTATTTATTGGTTTATTTTCGGTATTCAAATATTTCACCTGCTATTTGCTGATCTGAATCTTAATCGAGTCTTGTTCTTAGTGTTAACTATTCCCTGTGTTCGACCCTGGTACTACAGTTGATCCGTATCCTAATTGCGGTATTCGTTGTATCTAGGTTTTTATTACTTGAGCTTATTTATATACCTAGATTTGCGTTATCACTTCCGTATCTTTAGGTTTACGTTAGAAGTATTAACGTCCGCTATCATTATTACTAGGTCGAATTAAGAATTCCTTATCACGTCCCATGTATGCGTTCAGAATTAATAATTGAACCTATCTTATGAACGAATTCCGGTATTAATTAATCCAAATTCCTTTGCAATTAATTAACCGAAGTTCAATTCTATAGGGTGATCAATCCTAAGAAAGCATTATGTTCAATTCATAAAACCGGATCTAACTTAGACATGCATCAACCGTTTAAGGACATTGATAATTCCGTAACATGGCTAGATTCTCTAGCCTACAGTAAGTGGACTACTCACACATTATGGAGGAAAGCAAAGTAGACATGGATTCATACAACATTTCAATAGAAAAAAATAGAAGACTTATTGCGTAAAGAATCGATCCCACAAACGTTAACCAAAAAACAAGTAAAAGTCTTGAAAAATGTGAAAATGTGCGAACCCTCCTCTCTAATCCGTATGGTCCGTTTTATAGAAATCTTGAAATATAAATGTTAGAAGCCTCGATATCGATGTTTTCTAACATCGATATTCTTCCAAAATGTCTCGATCTCGATGTTATAGAAGGTCAATATCGACGTTGAAAAAGGTTGATATTGGGACTACTCAGATTTCGAAGTATGGAATATCGATATCGATGTTTGGGAACGTCTAGATCGAGAAATCTGAAGTCTGATCTCGAGGTAGCTCAAAACGTCGATATCGATGTTGAGAAACGTCGATATCAATGTTATAAAACGTCGACTTCGATGTTATAAAACATCGACATCGATGTTCTCAACATCGAGATTCTCCCTTTTTTGGTCCAAAATTTGTTTCTTGCCCGTGACAAGTTTGTGGCCTTCCTTAACTCGTCCCTGATCGTCCACTTGGTCTAATTAATCTCTAAAAACACCGTTTTAGCTCCATTTTCGTCCAATTACGCGAATATTCCTGAAATTACACCAAAGAGCAAAGAAAACGGTATTTGTGTACAAAATGCAGCCTAAATGCTAGATTTGTACGGAAAAGATAAGTGAAATCACTACAAAAAAAATGGTCATTTCCAACAGGCATACCCGAACCGCTGCCCTTGGGATAGCTGAAAGAGAAGTCCTTCTCTGGATAGTAGAGGTAGATTGGGTTGGGCATGATGGCCCTCTGAATTCTCTTGTCATCGTCTGAGTAAACCCACTCCTTCTCTCTTAAGGGTCCAATGGTGATGTAGTTCCGTTTCCAGAAACTACCTAATGTGAGACTAGACCTCCCTTTGCAGACATCTTCGCATACCGCCCAACGTTGATCCCTGCTTGCCAGGCTATCATTGTGACAATTCCCCCTGTGACTGATGACGTCGTGAGCGGCTCACTCCCTGACCAGATCAGGTGTCGGGCGAATTGTGACGCTAAGTCTACCTTGCTCATTCTGGCGTCGCATCCGTCAAATAGCTCTGATAGGGCTAGCCGTAGATACCCTATCTCTGGGTGGTTCACAATACCTTGCGCATCATGGCCTAGTAGGCAGCTCGTGATGAACATGTACATGACCCGCACTGAGGGGTGCCTGATTGTTGAACCCTTGTCTCTCCCCATCCACGGGGATCCGGTGAGGGCCAGCCAGGTCTCGTTCAACACAGTCTGGGGCAACTTCGGCTTCTTGTTGGACGTACCCTCGGGGACTCCTAGGATATCGGCCAACTGCCGCATGTCAATCCTATAGTCTCACCCCCACAGACGAAACTCGAGGTATGCTCCTCCTACTTCTCCCGATGATGGGAAGTATCCATAGCAGGAGGAGAGGAATCTGAACGTCAGTTTGTTGTAGGTCTTTTCCTGCGTCTCGAAGAGCCTCTCCCACCCTAACCGCTAGAATAGCAGATGAACTTGGTCACGAATGCGGAGTTCCGCCAGCGTCTAATGGTCCAAAAACCTAGAGGGTTTGATCCCTTTTACCTTAATGTGATGGAGCCTCGCGTCCTAGGCATGGGCCTATCTGGTTTGGATTTCTCCGATCGGTTCGTCGGCATCCTCCGTGGAGATTGGGACGAGGGACTCGATAGTGAAGAAGCAATGGGCCGGGGGGTTAGAAGCCTTTTTCTTCATGGTTTTTTTTTAGAAATCTGGGTTTTTTGGGGTTGGTTAAGTGTTTAGGGAGTGAAATCTCGAGACAAAGAGGAGAATATGGATGTTTGTTGAGAATGAATGGAGAAAGGTCGAGATTTTGGTATACATAGGCAAAAATATCGATGTTAGGAATATCGATATCGAATTTTCGTAACATCGAGATCTGGCAGATCTGCATGTTCCAGATCTCAACGTCTATCAACATCAATAGCCACAAAATCGATCGGAACGTAAACGTTTTCAACCTTAAGTGGTGCATCCTCTAAAGTCCCAAAAAGGGCTTTCACTGACTTGTCTGCCAGTTGTAGGATCATTTTAGTGGGCTTTAGTTCATCCACGTTCAGCTTATCATATGTGGTCTTTGGTAATAGACTCATACTTGCTCCTAAGTCGCACAGTGTGCTAGGAATAGAGACACTGCCCAATTGGCAGGCTATTTTCTTGGATCTGTCATCTTGGCTGGTAGGTTCCTTGTAGTACACTACTGCATTCAGCTGTCAGGATTACTGGTTCCTCTTCTAATTTCTCCTTCCTAACGAGTCCGTCTTTAAGAAACTTCTCGTAAGATGGTGTTTGCGCTATAGTTTCATGTAGAGGCTGGGCAATTTTCATCTTTTCCCACAAGGGGTTTGGTTCAGGTTTACCAGGTAATGTGCCCTGCGTTCTGCTAGGCTTAGCTGCGAGTTGAGCCACCTGTGGTCTAGAAGCTTGATATGGGATATTATCCCTTGGATTTGCTTCTTTAGATCACTTTGTTCGGTGACCATCCCTTACATCATGTTACTCATAGACGTTTGCCCTTGTAGGAGCATTTCAAGCATCGACTTGATATTGGGGGTCTGATCCAACTTTTGCTGAGGTTGTTGTTGTTGCTGGGGACCCTTGAAATGGTCGTTGAGGTCTTTGTTGGAAAGTTTGATCTTGGAATGGCCCGAGTTTTGGAACGTGGGTTCATGTTCTCTTGAGGAGCATTTTGGTAATTGTTGCTCTTGTAATTGAAGCTAGATGATTCCTCCAGGCAGGGTTGAAGGTGTTGGAATAAGAATTGTTAGCAACATAGTTGACATCCTCAACCCCTTGTTCTTGAGAGAGCATAGACTGATCTCCACTGAACTGATCTGATGATTCGCCTAGGGCATTACGGTTCGACAAATAGATTTGCATCTTCAGTTCCGCAAGTTCGGCTTTAATAGCCTGTACTTCACTGACGTTCTCTACATTACCCCTTTTTCGCGAGAATTCAGTTGGAGTGGTTATGTCGCTAACCATTCGCTCAATTAGGTCCTCCAACTCATCAAAGGTTAGCTTTTGAAGACTACCTTCGCTGGCACAACTTATGTAGAACCTTATTTCGTCTCTCAATCCGTTCAAAAAAGTTGGCAGAAGGTAGTATCTGTCGAAGTTGTGATGAGGGCATGCTCTTTGGTATTCCTTGAATCGTTCCCAAGCTTCACCTAGAGATTCTCATGTTCTTACGAGAAGGAATTAATCTTGTTTTTCGCAAGCTAGGTCTTGTGAACAGGAAGAATCGGTTCATGAACTTGTCATCAAGTTGATCCCAAGTCTGGATCGAGTCTGCTGGCAGAGCATAGAGCCATTCAAGCGTTCTTCCTGATAAAGAGAAAGGGAAAGCAAGAAGTAGCACTTCCTTAGTCGAAACTTCATTTGCTACTCTAACGAACTAACAGAGAGATTTAAACTGAGTCAGATGCAAGTTGGGATCCTCAGTAGAGTTGCCTCTGAAGGCATTCCCGGTAAGCATCTGTATAAAAGTCGGTTGTAGATCGAGACGAGTTCGCCCATTTCCCGATCTACGAATGCAGGAAAGTAATGGAATGTGCTTTGGAGCAGTGTAGCCTCCAAAAGTAAGCACTTCATTTCGCTCGACTGTCCTCGGTGGAGCAGCATAATGCGCAGGATGGTCGTCAACATTTCTATTGTCATCCATTACTTCCAATCTCCTTCGTTGCCTTAGGAGTTGAAGAGTTCTTTTGATTTCTGGGTCAGGAGGAAGTAGAGTTTGACTTCCACGACTCTTGATCATAAACCAAAGGAATCAAAGTTTCGATTTCCGAAAGAGGGGAATCTGATGGTGGTGGAAAGAGAATCTAAACCCGGCACCAAGACTGAATCTCAGTCCCCGGCAACGACGCCAAAAACTTGATCGTGTCAATCTAGGTGAATGGATGGTTGATAACTCCTATTTCTCTCTATATTTTTATAAGAGTTTGTCTAGGTTTTACAAGATAACCACATGCATTTATAGGCATTCTAGGCGTGTTAAGACACAAAACCCGGTTGTACTTTAGTTTTGTAGAGTTACAGGTTTCGAAGATGATTGGACTCGAAAAGGAGCTATTTGGAGCGTTAAAGGAGAAGTCCGGATGAGGTACTCATGTTGTAACATCAATAACTTTCTCTACAGAAGTCCAAATCATGCGAGACTTGTACCATTAGAAAGATCCTTTCAAGAGCTTCGTGTATACCAAAATCACATAAATCCAACATCGGAGCTGAAAGTTATGAGCAAAATCGCGAAGCCTGAGAAATCTGCCAGAAAGTGAAATCGGTCTGGTTCCAAATGGAACCGGCCGGTTCAAGAGGTCCGAGTTCACTTATTTTGGGCCGGTTCAAGTGTCCAGAAGGCCAAGAAACAGAAGGTGAAACTGGTCCGGTTCCATATGGAACCAGACCCGACGGAGAAAAACCCTAATTTGCGATTTTTAGAGTCCTAGAGGTGAAAAGACTCTTGGGAACCACCCTAGGGTTATAAAAAAGGCCTAGACACGTCTTAGAAGAGGGGAGAACCTTAGAGAACACTTAGATACAGACTTTTGGAGAGCTTTTGGTGAAGAGAAGAATAGAAGTTCACGGGATTTCGGGAAGAAGAAGCAAGATTCGATCGTGGAGACTACACATCTACATGAGCTTTTCTCTCCTTTCTTTTATCTCCTTTTCTCTGTTCTTTTTATTGTTTTCCATGAACCGTGAGTAGATCCACGACTATGGGTTAGGGATTC